TGATACCGTGATACTCTAACCCTTATCTTAAGATGGTCAAGGAATTATATTCACCAGGAGGCTGCAAGGTCTGTCGTGCGGTATGTGTCACCACGGAGTACTTTATATGACGCTTTCTAAACTAATAGAAAAACACAATTCTAAAGAATAGTTTTTGTCTAATGCAAGAAACACAACCTTCGGTATCTACATCTCCAAATCAACACCCAGAAATAACTACATACGCAAAACACACAAACAAACCTAACAGCTGTTTGTGCGTCCACCAACCGACCCTAGCGGGCAGTCTGACCGGTCGCCGCCTGTCAGGCGGGACGTCGAGGCCGGACCGTGGTCGTCCGCCCGGGCGGACCGGCGTGGTCCCGGCCGGTCCGGTCCCCGCCGTGGTCACGGCGACGCTCAGCCGGCGTGGAGCGTCACGGTTGGACCAGCCCCGCATGACATTTTCAATCCGCATGCAGTCTGTCAAGCTGGCATGGTCTTTGTTAGATGTTTGCTGATGTGTTGTGGCTAATTATTTACAGGTTTGGCTGTGTTTAGTGCATGCCGTTTCTGTGATTGGCTGTGTTTTTAGAGTTCGTGTGCTCTTTTATGTGTTTTCCTACGTAGAAGTGTATCTTTGTTCTTTGATTGATAGTAGTTAAGTGATTATCAAGCGTAGCATTGTTCACATTATCGCTTGGTGTTAGTAAAGCGACAATAATAGCATAATTAAGTGTGTAAGCTATGGCATAAGTAACATTTCAGCGATAATTGCGAATATTAATATGCCCCTTGGTGAGCGAAAATAACTAGGCGTCAATTGAGCTGCAGACTATGGCAAAACATTCCATCCGCTCGTTATATTCAACCTCACAATATCCTCTCAATTTTCCTGTCACTTGTCGCTTTCCCGTCATTTTACGTGTGTGTTTGCACCTCACGCCGGCTGTTCTACAGCTTTCATTACACCACCGTAACCGCACGGACCCAATTACCCATGACCTTTAAGTCTAACCTCTGACATTTAACTCGTACTGTGTAACCTCTGACATTTAAAGTAACTCCCGAAGCCTTGAACCCCTGATCCTTAACCCATGAGCCTCAATCCCTATCTCAGGACACGTCCTGTCTCCTGTCGCTGACTAATAACCCCTATCGCTGACTCCTGCCGTGATCCCAATCGCTGACCGCTGACCCCCTACCCCCTGACCCCTGCCGTGACCCCTGGTTGACCGTTGACCCCCTTACCCCTGCCGTGACCCCTGTCGCTGACCGTTGACCCCCTTACCCCGTGACCCCCTGCCGTGACCGCTGCGGCTGACCTGTGACCCGGTGCCCGCAGGCGGCCACTACCCCAACTCGCTACGTATTCCCTCGGACCGCTACACCCGCCGTGTGAGCGACTCGTCAATGCTGGGACAAGACCAGGACGCCGTACGGGAACTGGAACAGCTTAAGGTAGGCGGGCGGGACGCTGTGGTAGCTGCTATTACCTGTCAGTTTCTACAGTAGTTCGTTTGTATTAGCCAGTAGTTAACGCGACATCTTTCGTTGGATAATCCTTAATAGTTACTGTTCTTAGGAACTTTATTGTAAGGTAATGCAAACCTTTTTTTATCGCTGGTTGCAACCCCGTCCCTCCAAGTCCGAGTGTTTCATTATTTGGTCAGGTTCTGTCCCTTTCACTTTAAGTGCCAGTTCTGGTTTATTTTAGGCTCGCTCTTGACAAAGCCGGTGGGTAAGGTCACTGTTCGCGCACGACAAAATTCCCATTGTTTGCCAGCGGCCCAGCGTCACCTTGTTTCTAATTGGCCATGTGCTGACAGCGTGCCGTTCTGTTTGTGTGTTGGGTTAGGCTCTTTGGGTCTAACAAGACCATTTCAGAGCCGGAAGGATGATAGGAATGAGGGGGAGACATTGGTCTGGGCAGGGACCCTAGTGAGTCGCCGGGGCTGAGCCCATCCAGTGGACAGGCCACCCAGCCCCCTGACACTCACCGCACCCCGCTACGGGTCTGCTCCTAGGGGAGCTTCCTGCATGGCATAAATAAGCTGTCCGTCCAGCCCGGAACAGAGGGTTGAGGCGTGGAGGAGAAGGATTTAACTACCCTGAGGATGAAAACGGCGGACCGGGGGACAGCGTGCCTCTGTGCGGCGCATTGTAACGCATCGTGACCAATCGTGTTGCGTTTTGACGTATCGTCACGAAGTTTGGCGTGTTGGGACGTTTGGTGATGTATTGTTGATCCTTCACAAGACCTTTTGGCGTATTCCAATGTTTCGTGATTCCTTGGAATGCCTTCATTTGGCATAACTTGATCCTGATTGCAATGCATTTTGTGACGCATTTTTATGCACACAGAAACGTCTGTTGTTGCTGTGATGTATTTGGATACATGATTGTAACGCCTTGGCGTATTGGGACGTTTGGTGATGTATCGATGATCCTTAACGAGACATCTTGGCGTATTCCAGTGGTTCGTGCTTCATTGGAAACCTTTATTTGACATAGCTTGATCCATCGAGACGCATTCACAGTATGTGATTTTATTAAACGTATTTTACACTCACGGACGCCCGAAAGCTTTGTGACGCGTTTTGATTCATTGTGAAGCATTACGGCACGCTCGTGTGACTGACGCGCGTGCCTGCCGTTTCCAGCAACACAGCCGGTCGGTGGACAGCACCACGATGCAGGAGTTGCAGCTGCAACACACGCGCCACTTTCTGCAGCGAAGACAGGAGGGCGTCGGACAGCTGGGAGCGCCAGGTATGAGAGGGGTTACCGGAGGGAGAGGGCGGGACGAGCCAGGTAGAGGACTGGGGTGGTCCGGCCGCTGTCCTATATACCGCACTCTGTCCCCATCCGGCCCTCAGTTGGGTGATGCAGGGTGGTCTAATGTCTTACGGTATGATATGAAACATGTCCCGCCATTTGGTGGGCTTAAAGGTTAGAGGTAAACTTGTCTATTTATAGAGGAGTCCTTGGTCCCTGCATTCAGTGTTGGGTGTCTAGGAATGCGGTCTTACTGGTGTTTCATTGTGCAACGCCCGCATCTGCTTTGTGCTCTCATATTCCTTGTAACCTTTCAGTGAGCAGGCTCGTTCTAGAAATAGACGGCGATAAATCAAGCTATAATAGCCGCAGTGTCCACTGACTGCGAATGGCCCCGTGTGTTGTCAATCGCAGCTCTGCACCACCAGTCTGCACGTTGAGTCCCTGCCTGTATCATTGCAGTTGTTTAGCGTCTAACTTGTCTCCACGCGCCCTCCCCACTTGTCTCCTGGGCCCAGTTTCACCAAGCTCTGTTTGGGGTAGTCTCGGCGAAACTACCCCAAACCAGTTTCACCAAATGGGGTAGGTTCTGATTGGCCACTTCCAAACTACCCCATGGGGCAGTTCTTATTTTACCCCAAATTTGCCATGCAAACAGATGCTCACGGTCCGTGAGCATCTGAACAAGCCAATCCATCAGCTGTTTGCCGGCAATTCTACCCCAAATATCCGACCAAAATTACGGCTGACATTCGTGGGGTAATCTGTGAATATGATACGAATTGTGAGCAAGAATTGACAGTAAAATAGTAATAAGAACATATTTTATTGAAGTCCAATCACCTGTTATGTTTGAGTATTGAGTAACGTAATGTTTGAGTTATGAGTAATGTTTGAGTTATGCATTATTCATAGCATAGGTACTTCAAGTTTCATCCAAATATTTTACTGCATGTAGCCTTCACCACCTATGCTTGTGATCTGCATTGCAACACCCAAAAGAAGCATTATAGATGTCGCCCATAGCTGAATGCCAGGATTTTTACTTTTTTAACTATTAAAGGTATTCCTTCAACAGTGACCTTGAATACCGGATGAGGAAGCCTTGAAATATAAACAATAAAAATGCACATTCTTCACGGTGGTTATATGCTGACGATGTGTCTTGTTGAAATGATCATAGTACTTCAACTTGTGTGATCTATTCAAATTATCATTCGAGGTATCTATATGCCTTACGGTCAATGTGCAAATATTCCGCAAATGTCAAGACGCTAACAACTGAAATCAAATAAAAATGCCGTACCTAAATCAGCAAGAGAATGTCGTGCATACCTACCTAGGTAATTCTCATTAGAAATAAAAAGCATATGGTGCAAGTAATTCGTAATAAGCAGTTGATAAAAATACCAGGCCAAGTGGATTCGATACTTTCCATATCTTTTTTTTTTTGTCGCTGTTGTGCATATCTCAATAAAGTTGCGTTAAATGTGCCGTGCATCTGTTGGTACTGTATGTATTTTGTAATGCACATTAGAAATAAAAGCATCTGGTGCAAAAGATTCGTAGTTAAAAGTCGTCAAAAATACCAAGCAAGGTGTATTCGATACTAGTAAAACATGCACTAATTTACTAAAACATTCTAATTATAAAACACTAAACATCTAATCTAATCTAAAACATCTAATTTAAACACCTAATATAAACATCACATTAAAGGAAATAGTTCACTTTTTAACATGGGTTTTGAACTGGAATAGCAGTTCCGTAGCTTGGGCTGAGACGAGCATAAATCAGGAGCTTTTACAGCCCAACGATCACCCTAGGCAAAGATATTCTATTTCTCGTCCCGAAAAAGGTGTCTTGCGTTGAGGATGTGTGCCTTGCATATATTTCCATCCAGTATGAAAAGAGCATGGGTCCCGAAAATTCTTCAGAAAGTAGAAAAATTATCTACGAGAACTCTAGAGAAATTCTCGTACTGATCAATTAGGACATTCAGGGGAACATTATCAGATCGAGCAGATCGCCCAAATGCCGGTGGCTGCGATAATTTCTCTGTTTCTGAAGAATTTTCGGGACCCATGCTCTTTTCATACTGGATCGCGGGTGCCTTACAGAAACTGAAAAGTTCTTCCTATACCAAAATATAGAAAATAATATTTTGTTATAAAAAGGTTTTATTTTCTTTGCTGATTATTTTGAACATAAAAAATCATAAATCCGTTGAAAAAAAAATAATTTCGTGAAAGTGAACTATTTCCTTTAACTAAAACACTAATTAATTTTAAAACATTCGATACTATTCGATAATAAAACATGCCATTGTTCTGTAACCTATCCATCAAGATTCGCGGTTGTGCATTGCATTCCTTTCTCAATAAAGTTGTGAATCTTGGAAACTGAGGTGCCATTGTGCCATCGTTACCAAGGTGATTGGTAGACAAATACAAGAAGCCAAATCAAATGTGTTCTTCATTTCACGCCGTCGTGAAATGAAATTCTCGACCAATCAAAACGTTCCGTTGTTTTGCTGATGCTGCTTGCTTAGCAAACATTCACAAGAGACGCCGAAACTACCCCATGGGGGTAGTTTGAGCTGGTGAAACTGGATTTTACCCCATGGGGCAGAATGGAAATCTACCCCATGCCGAAATTACCCCACTTGGTGAAACTGGGCCCTGGTGTCTCCTGGGCCCAGTTTCACCAAGTGGGGTAATTTCGGCATGGGGTAGATTTCCATTCTACCCCATGGGATAGAATCCAGTTTCACCAGCTCAAACTACCCCCATGGGGTAGTCTCGGCATCTCTTGTGAATGTTTGCTAAGCAAGCAGCATCAGCAAAACAACGGAACGTTTTGATTGGTCGAGAATTTCATTTCACGACGGCGTGAAATGAAGAACACATTCGATTTGGCTTCTTGTATTTGTCCACCAATCACCTTGGTAACGATGGCACCATGGCGCCTCAGTTTCCAAGATTCACAACTGTATTGAGAAAGGAATGCAATGCACAACCGCGAATCTTGATGGATAGGTTACATTATCGAATATCGATTTATCTAGTTTTATTATCGAATAGTATCGAATGTTTTAATATTAATTAGTGTTTTCATAAATTAGATTTTTTTATTATAAATTTAGTCCGAACATTTTGATGGGAAGGATTCACAAGGACAGAGCCACCGCTAAGCGAAGCTTGTTGCGATGACTCTGCCCTCTACCCTCCGATCGCGCAATTCCGATTCTATGGCAGAATTTAGATTCCAAAGTTTTACGTGCGCACAAAGCCGCGCACGGCCGGTCCCCTCGCTGACTTCGCCTGGCTACGGCCTGCCACCAACCACAACCATACCTGTCAGGAGGCCCATAAATGTCGAGCGCCCGTCGCGCTTCGAACCCGGACTGTTATAACCGGGAACGCGTGCTCTCACCACGCGGAATCCAACGCTCTAACCAACTGAGCTACGGGACCGGGACCCGTAGATGCTTAGATTAGATGTTTAGATTAGATATTTAAGATTAGATTAGATGTTAAATTAGATTAGATGTTTAGTGTTTTATAATTAAATGTTTCAGTAAATTAGTGCATGTTTTAGTATCGAATACACCTTGCTTGGTATTTTTGACGACTTTTAACTACGAATCTTTTGCACCAGATGCTTTTTATTTCTAATGTGCCATACAAAATACAAACATTACAGATGTACGGCACATAACGCAACTTAATTGAGATATGCACAACAGCGACAAAAAAAAAATAGATATGGAAAGTATCGAATCCACTTGGCCTGGTATTTTTAACAACTGCTTCTTACGAATTTCGTGCACCATATGCTTTTTATTTCTAATGAGAATTACCTAGGTATGCACGACACATCCTCTTGCTGATTTAGGTACGGCATTTTTATATTGCTTTCAGTTGTTAGCGTCTTGATATTTGCTGGATATTTGCTTATTGACCCTAATACATAGATGCCTCAAATCAAGGCCATATATAGGCTCAAATGATAATTTGAATAGATCACACAAGTACTTGGATCATTTCAACAAGACGCAGCATGTAACCACCGTGAAGAATGTGCATTTTTATTGTTTGTATTTCAAGGCTTCCTCATCCGGTATTCAAGGTCACTGTTGAAGAAAACCTTTAAGTTAAAAAAAGTAAAATTCCTGGCATTCAGCTATGGGCGACATCTATAATGCTTCTTTTGGTGTTGTAGATCACAAGCATAGGTGGCGCAGGCTACATGCAGTAAAATACTTGGATGAAATTTGAAGTAGGTATGCTATGAATAATGCGTACTCAAACGTGACAGGTGATTGGGCTTCAATAAAGTATGTTCTTATTACTATTTTACTGTCAATTCTTGCTCACAATTGGTATCATATTCACAGATTACCCCACGAATGTCTGCCGTAATTTTGGTCGGATATTTGGGGTAGAACCGACGATAATCAGCTGATTGATTGGCTTGTTCAGTTGCTCACGGACCGTGAGCATCTGTTTGCATGGCAAATTTGGGGTAAAATAAGAACTACTCCATGGGGTAGTTTGGAAGTGGCCAATCAGAACCTACCCCATTTGGTGAAACTGCTTTGGGGTAGTTTCGCCGAAACTACTCCAAACAGAGCTTGGTGAAACTGGGCCCTGGAGACAGTTGACCTTTGGCTCATGTCTCCGCTTGTCTTTCGTGTCTCCGCTGTCTCCCACAGATCCTTGCCGTTTGATCTGCCTCCTTCGCGTGTCGACGTATCTGTCTACCTACGCTGGCATCTGACTGTCGTCTGCCTCCCTCATGACTTGTCTCCAGATATATCTTGGAGACACTTGTCCTTTGACATGTCTCTCGGCACTACCATCTGTTGTATATCTCCGCTGTCTCCTCGAGACATCTGTCGTCTGACTTACAGGGTGTCCCAGAATTACCCGGACATTGTTAATTAGCGTATAAAATAAGGCAAAAAGGATTGCGCCTTTTTCTTTTTATCA